GTCTAAGAAATGATATAAAATTTCCAATTCCAAAAACAAATTAAAAAAGTCATGCGTTCATTATGTTACTGAAATATTCAATCATCTACAATCAGAAATGAATCTGTTTATGAAACATAAACTGTGTATAGAAAACATTTGAAAAATTCTCTTCTGGACCTGGTTTTAAATTGTATTCCGAAATTTTTTGCGTGTTCATTATCTGACTCAATACAGTGTTTGTATTTTTTATGTTGTATTTTAGTCATTTATTTTACAATCTACTGGATAATTAATATTTATTGTTATGGTTACTTTTTTAAGCACAAAACACAAGCACTACAGGAAAATCCTAAAGGCGCTCCCAGAGCGGTGCCAGTGCGAAAGTAGCGATTCACATTAAATTTGAATCACTGGAGATTAAATCCATTTCGAAAAACGTTCCGAGGAAGTTATATTTCATTGACCCAATATCATGTGAATCATGATATATAAAAGCATATGCATGTTATACACTTTGATTTGTAGGCTGACAGTATTCCTGCTACTATAGTTCACAACAAAATTTCAACTTTTATAACCAAACACTATTATTTTTGAAATTTCAAATTTTTGCATATTTCCTCGGTTTATACAGACATATCCTATATGTACCTACACATTGTTGTTCTAAGATAAATTATTATTATTATCAACCTCTATGTAGATGGTTAACGGTTCAGTAAACCTTCATTTCTAAACCAATCAAAAGATTTGTGGCCAGATAATAAGGTTCTAGCAGAATTAGATAAATTAACTTACATTAATTGATTGACACAGAAAAATTATTATTAGAAGCAAAAAATAGGATAAGCAAATTTTTTTATATCAGTAGGCGTCCCTCCAATATATTGTGTGAAAGTTCTATATATGTTCGAAGTTATGTTTGTTTACATAACGTATCTGAAAGAATAATCAATGGACCTACATATTTTCTTAACCTTTTCATTGAGGTTAAAATATAATGGGCGGAACCAGTTTTTTACAAGTACCGAATGCGTGAAGAATTCCTCCATATTTTTTTAGAAATCCTGTATAATATGGGAACAGCCCTAATTTTTATAAAAAGTAAATGGAAACTGTGATATTATGACAAATAGGATTTATTTATTCAAAGAAATATCATGTGGTCAAGGCCATATAAAAATTAAAAAATACATTTGCAAACATATCTTTTATTGCAAGCATGTGACTAGAAATGAGATAAGTAGTATTCCACAAAACATGTTCCCATGCATGGTCCAGGATATTCTGGACAAGTAAGAAAGTGACTAGTAGACTCATTTTGTGCATCAAGAGTTGTAAACAAATTTCATTATTTTTGCTACATTACTTCCTTTTTCTTCACATGAAGATATATCTTTCTATATATCCCCCATTTTATATAACAAATCGATACGATGCGCAAAATATACAATACAATATAATAAAAAGTAAAAAGATTTAGGATATATTGAAAACGTGGTACTTATGGAAATAAACAATATATTCTCAATCACGTTGAACAGTTATGTAGAATAATTCATGCTCCATAGGCGGAGTAAGTGTCGAATCTATAGGTTGGCACTTGAAATTATATTTAGATAGAACGCGTGAATGCAATATCACGCTTTCCGCAGGGAAAGGGTTGAAAAATTTTTTCTTTTTATATTTTCATACTATATTCTATATTTGTAATGAATACTTTATTTTCTCGAAAATTTTCTAATCTTAAAATTCAATATCTCCAAATTCAATATCAAACCAACATTTCATGAAAGGGTGAATATGTTGGACGAGTTGGAATTATGGATTATAAGTGTGAGGTTGGAATAACAAGTTCAAAATTAAAATTCTTAGTTTAAAATTGAAATTACTAGTTCAAAATTGAAATTACTAGTTTCAAATTAGTATTATGAGTTTCATTTTGGAATACATAATTAGTCTAATTTGAAGTTGAAATTATCCCAAAAAATTATTATTTCACAATAAAATCAAGTTATGGATTGAGAAAGACTATAAGTTTGTAAGATGACAGTGTTCCATGTAAGTGAAATTTTACCACTATCATATACTATAGTGTGTAGCAATCCTGTGAATGTTATCTGGATCAATTTCATAACACATGTTTGGAGTACAGACTGAATAGGGAAAAGTGTTTTTTGTATAATTCAATGTTCATTAAAAATACTCGTTTCACAAGTATTCTTCTTTCCTGTAAATCAATGCTTACATGAAAGTAGTTATTTTGAGAGGGTTTCTTTTTTCACTTTTTCTCTCAAAAGTAACTTCTTTACACGATCTACATCTGTGTAGAGAATTAATCTTGAAATGAATTGCTTTCTTCCTTTCTTTGAAAAATTCCCACATTTATTGTATAAAGATGAAGAAGTAGAAAGCCAAAACCTTTTTTCCCCAAAAATTATTCTCCTCTAAAAATATCCCTCATTCAATTTGAAGTTTATAACATTTTAGTTCAGAAACACTGCTTTTTTGGATACAGTAGTATTATTCAAATAAAATCTTTATTTCTTTGTTTAAAAACGTTTTCATTAAAATTGTTTTGTGTAAAAACAATAATTCCAGATAAGTTGCCTAGTAATTTTAATTGTTTACAGAATAATGAGCATATTTTTTGAGACAATTATTGAATATAGGAACATTATTATTTCTATATCTTATCAGTCTTATCAATTTGTCTACCTTGTAAAATAATAAAAATAGACAGACCAAAATTATCAAAAATATGGATGCAGAAATCGTACCTCTGCTAGAGGACTTACATTTTGGTAATTATCTGTGTGTGTTCAAGATATTCTGGACAGATCAATACAATCCTATTGTTGACAAGAATTATGAGCAGAATTTACTATTTTCTGAATCTCTTTGTCTCTTGTGATCCAAAACTATTGAAACAAGAAAGTTTTAGATTCACTTTATTTCATGCAATATGATTTTATGTTATAAAATCCCAATGATATTCCTATAGGTGAGCGATTTTGGAATGAAATAACAAATTCATCTTCTGATGCAATGAGTTTATCTGTTAAGTTCATCATAATTAACAAGTTTAATTCTCTTGGCACAAACATCTTAAAAGACTGAATTGATACAATTCAGCTGTCATTCTTTGTGATGTCGGCTCTCCCGTTCTTCCAGTCGGTTCAAATTTTTTCAATGCATTTTTATTTCATATATGTCTGCATACTGTAAAACTTGGTAATTAGTATCTTAATAATATTTGTTGGGATGTCCATTATATGTTATATATGAATGACTAGTACTCAAAGTTGATCAGTTTCATTTTCACTGAGTTTAAAATGATGATCAGAGTTGAGACCTTGAAATAGAGAAATTAATGAAGTGGGATGTCAGATTTTATTTTTTATAGTTTTAATAGCTTTTAATTCGAAATTTCACTAGTATTTTTTTCTTTACTTTTACATTTTCAACTGAATTATTACCTTTCAATTTCACAAATATATCCAATAAGTTCTAATATGAATATAAAAAACTAGTATGGTTCTTATACTGAAAAATCGTTATGTATTCAAATAAACAGAATATCATAAGATTGAGAATTCGTTTAGAGCATACCACTAACTGTCTAGGTAGGAAAGTTTTATGTGTTTCAGAAAACCAGTAAGCACTGGCTCTATGACATACTCAATTTTATAATTTACTGGAGAATCCTTCACAGTGTTTGCGAAATATTTGTGTTTTACTTACTGTGAAACTTTGAACTCCTACTGCTTAATGATTTAGTGGTGTGATTTAATTTCAAAGTCGAAGTCAAAGTCAAAATACGCTTCTCTGCTACTCAGTCAGGTAATAACTATTCGAGTTAATGTTCTCAAAAATCTATTCACTGTAAAATAATATACATTGCGAGTTTGGTGAATAAAATTTCAAGTAGTTACTAAACATATGTATATACAATAAAAAGGACAGAAAAAAACAACAAAAACAATTTGTATTTACAAAAATAGCCAGTAAGTATGTATTTGAAAAATTTCCAATATTGATTACATAAAATGTATTGAGAGTCAGACACAAGTCAAATTAAAAAGTGTCTTGATAGTACTCTGATAAATTATAATATGCTCTCTCACAAAAAAAATCTTTAAAACCTTCCCTGAAGTTCCTGTTATGGCATGCACCTTTTAGGTACGATGGTAGGTGATTGAATATTTTCAACCAATTATAAATGAGGGAGTCTTTAATAGGGGAATTATTTGAAATGGAATGTTTTTGTGGCAAGTGGTGTTTGCGTCAATTGACAACTGATTTTGATGTTTTACTATGAGACATGTAGTTTCTACAATAAAATCGATATTACAGTGATGATTTTCTTTTCCCTAATCAGTGATTTGCAAGGATCTCGTGTCTTTGTTTTACACAGGAAACTTATAAATATGTCAATTACAGAAAGTGGGTTAAAGATATTTTATTAGGCATGTTAAGTGAAATATTAAAGTTGCATATGCTTATTACACTTCAGATCAAATTAAATTCATTTTATTACCAAAGTCAATGTGAATGAACAGATCAGAACTTACTGGGCATCTGCCTTTATCAAGAATACAGTATGCAACATCCTTAGTTGAGTGGTAGAATAGCATAAGTTAAACTCTACCAAGATAAAAATAAAGACCATTCATTATTATTATTATATTGAAGAATTTACTATTGTTGAAATCAAGAAACGCAAAATGTGGCTAGACTTTGGATGTGTCACGGATGCTTTAGATGAACTTCTGTACCTTATTATGGCTTGTGCTTGGGAACACGAGTCTTGCGCAAGTCTTTCTTCAGCTTGCACAATCAATAGAACTTGGAGCTGCCTTTAGGGGAGCATCTGATTGGCAATTAATACAATTATTTTTAACGTATTCAAAAAATACACTTGAACGTGAGAATTCCACTTGAAACTTTACAATAGCATCTTCAGGTGTCACACAATTATTTTCCAAATATGTTTGGATAAAAAAATAGACACTTACCAACAAGGAGTTCACATCTTCCTCCAGCAATTCTTTTATTTCCGAAGTTATAGATTCAGTTTCAGGATCCCATATTTTTCTTTTTCTCAATACAGTTTCAATATCTTGGACGTCAGTGGAATCTTCAGCATCACTGTAATGCGACATCCTGGTCTTCTCTTAACACGCTGCTTTTTTAACTGAAACATCAGTGATAGGTAATTTGTATTATCAATAAACTTGAAGTGAAAATGATCAAAGGTCAAAGTAACAAACATTTCAGCTTATTGTGAAAATACTCCTATTGGACCAGGTAAAATATTAATTGTATCTGTTGATCTTATCAGTTCAATTAGTCGCAAAACATTATTTTAATATAAATTGAAGGTATTTTTGACCTCTTTTTAAGTTCTAACTCAAAAATGGCATTGCTCACATTTACTGGCAGTTTCAAGATTCCACTATGATATTCACTAAATTTCAGTTGAATTTTTTCCTGATGTTTTAAAACGCATTGAATTTAGGATATTTCATTTTGAACTTCCACAAAATATTACATGACTCTTTGTTACTTTACAACACAACTTTCCTTACTCAAGGCCAGTCACCTAGCAGCGCTCAGCTGATAAATAGCATACAACTGAACACGTGAGGCAACATTCAATAACAAAAATCACTAAATATATATAGAGAACTACATACCGACATGAAATCCTTCATTTGTTGTTTTATGGTTTGACTGTTGTTCGTGGATAAAAAAAATCATCATTTCCAAAAAAAACTTCAGGATTCATGTGAGATATTTCAAAATCATTAAGTTTTTAAAATATTGAATATTGACACCACTTGTCATGAACACCAATTTACGTACTGTGAAATTACAAAAAGTTGCCTATATAGCCTCAGGATATAGGGACATATAATATCTTACAGGAGTGATTCATGGCGTCTGGGTACAAGCGGCTCCGTCCCACATCTTCATTTTAGAAAAATTACAAAATAAGCTAATACGGATGATTGTGAATGCTCCGTGGTTCGTGCGGAATGAAGCCATCCGCAAAGATTTGCAGGCTGCCTTCCATTCAGCAGTCCATTCAGTCGAGGAATCGGTGAGTTTAGTTGGGGAAGCTATAGATTATGTTGTAGACGACCCCCTCCCGATATAGAATATCCCGACACTCTGTCGAATGAGGCCCTCATATCCCCTGTTAACGGGCGAACAAATTTTTCATCCATCCCACCCCAGCCAGGTAGGGGTACCCCGTGAAGGGCAGAACTGATGTCTGAGGCAGGGCCGTCACCATGAGGGGATGGGGAGCCTCCCCCCCTGCTTTTTCGACTTGGGGAAAAAGTTGGGAATTTTTGGGCAGTGGAGATAGAAAAAAAATAAGTAAAAAAAATGAAAAAAATAGAAATGAGAAAAAAGAAAGGGAGAGGTGATAAGAAAAGGGAAAGAACCAGGAGAATTTTGGGATTTCCCAACATGCATAATTTGGAGATCCCATACTTTGAAATTCTGAGTTGTTTGAGAACTTCAAAAAAGTTCTATTTCTCCCGAGTAAGAGAACAGTCCTGAACAGTCCATAAATTTTGATGTGACAATTTTACAAAATTCTCAACTTTTCGCTGTTTTTCCGTCTTGGAAAAGTTGGGAAATATCGGGCCGTGAAGATAGAAAAAATAATAATAGAAAACAATAAGCACAATATTATTTAAGTGTTGTTTCCTTTCATTTGTATTGAATATTCCTATACATGGTGGTTATGGTGGAAGAACAAGAACCTTGATCCAAAGTAGAATTATTCCCATTATTATTTTTATATTTACCAAAATTTATTTCTGTTTGTGCATACCCTAACGGGCATAAGCATTCAGCCAATCTTTGGATAGCTAAGTAAGAAAATTAATATATTACAGTATTAACAAATCTCTTGGCTTTTATTTTTTCGAAAGTTGGGAAATTTTGCGCTACGGCACTGGTCTGAGGACTTTCATACCGCCATCTCCTTAGTCATGAACCCATTTGTCTCTCTGACAAAAATCAGCAAAAAGGGTAAAGAAGCTAGGCTCCAACCTGTCTGAACTGAAGATGAGTTTGCTGTAGAGGAGGGACACTCATCTGACAGCCTCTCGTGATGTTGAGCGGGCAATGGTCGATTCCAGTACTCCTATTCAGTGTTGCCACTATAAAATTTTCGGGTCTAAATCGACTGACATTTTCTAGGCCTTTTAATTCAAAGTCGGAAGAGATAGAATTTGTAATTTTATAGATTCCCGGATGTTCCCAGATATATGAATTGAAGTATTGAAGTTGATATGGACAAAAATAAAGAATCCTAGGGAACTTTACTTTTTAGGTTGTTGAATTGTTCGAAACCTGTCACCTATATATGTTTACCTGTTATCACAAACATAGCATTTCAGTATTCAATTTGTTTTTCCGAGTAGTTACGTTTTGATAGTGTATTCTGTAGGTGTTGTATGATATCTTTTTTCATACCATTATCATTACCAGAGGATATTCCAGGTGCCCTATTGAAAGACAATTTATTGATTGAAGACCATTCAGTTGCAGAACTCCAAAGATGGTTAGACTTTTTCTATCAGAACGATCCTGTTCTACTGAATACAATAAACAATACGTGAGTACAACAATAAAATTTCATATGTTATATGACATGTGACGGTAAAATGACAGGATCACCACTATTAAACAACGTACAAACTTAAAATTCCCTAGGATTTTTTATTTTTGCCCATATCAACTGCAATTATCCGATTCATATATCCGGGAACATACAGGAATCTATAAAATTGAAAATTCTATATGTTCCGACTTTGAATTATTCCAAAAAAGGCCTAGAAAATGTCAGTCGATTTAAATCCGAAAATTTTATAGTGGCAACACTGAATAGGGGTACTGGAATTGTCCATTTCTGTGACCTGCATTCTGAGTTCGACGGGTTGTCATTTTTGGCGGTAAATTCAAATTATTTACAACTTATCAGTTATATATTTTGATTGCAGTCGAAAAATTATTACGATATTACCTTGGCAGGTTGTTAAGCTAACATTTCAACAATGTCAATCAAACTAGGTCAATTTTACCCTATTCAAGTTCACTAACCACCCAACAAATTTTTTTGGTTTACAGTTATCACCTAGAATTTCTCAAAAAGTCCATGGTTCCTGTTTCGTGCTGAGTGTTCCTTCTGCAAGGTATTGTGTGATAGGGGGGTTGCGAAATGATAATGTCGAATTGGATATCATATGACAGATGCCAAACTGGAGAGTTGAACAAGCCTTTACAAATTTCAATATTTTGTGAAGCTCAAATTATACCTTTGCTCATATAAATAAAATACATCAATTTTTTTTATTGGAAACCCAAACTAAACAAAAGTATTTTTTTATAGAAACGAAAAATTCTGCTGATCAGGAGAGGCAATCTTACCATTTCTTATTTTACTACTACCTTCCATATTTATTTTTTTCGAAGCTCAGATTTTCTGAAAATGAACATTTGAAAAAATTTATTTTTTAATATTTTTCAATACTTCTATTCTATTTTTTTCAAAAATTTTCAAAACGTCACAGCACTGTAGATAATAACATACCTAGGTACCTATATGACTTAACTGAGTACCTGAATTTTGTTTACCTGTGACAATGTGGGTAGGTTCGCTAATTTGAAAACCGGTGAGAAACCTTAATCGATTTGATCATTTAGCAGGTTACACCCGCAAGTATTCCAAATAATTGAGTTTTCAACTCTTGTTTGCATAGTACAAAATTTACGTATCGTTTAGATTCGGGAACTTGTGGTTGCATAGGCATTGTGGGTGTAACCTGCTGAATGATTAAATCGATCTAGTTCACTCACCGGTTTTCAAATTAGCGTACCCACATTGTCACAGGTAAACAAAATTTAGTATTCAATTAACTTAAGTACCCAAGTAGGTATGTTATTACCTACAGTGGTGTTATATAAGGGGTTATTATCATTCATTTTTAGTTTAATGTACCTATTAGTTTGAAAATGTCCTTATAGGACGAAACTGCAATAACTTTAGTTATGAAAATAAAAGTGGTAAAAAGCAGAAATTTTCATTTCTCATTTTTCATGATCCCCTACCACGTTAATAACGGCTACATCCAGCAATGTATCAAAAATAATTATATAGTCTGTTTAATGAACTACTGTCAGAACATAAATGTAGATGATAACTTCATTTTATTAGTGGACTCATAGATATATAAACAAGAGTGGACTAGATATTTTCGATGAAGTGAAGCATAACAACTGTCAATGAGAATTCTGTGAGTAAATCAAATAAATGTTTCGAGGCTATAAGTATTGATTCAAAAAATGCAATGAAATAAAAACTACCATTTGAAAAAGCCATCTAACAAACTATTTAACTTAGGTACAGGTAACTCCAAAATGAAATATAATTGAGTATTATATCGTTCAGAACAAAATAATCCAGGGTGCTCTAAGACAAAATTATCTTTGTATAATATTTAGGAACGGATATTATCGAAATCGATGGCCCAAAACCTCTTTTATGCCTGGTCAGAATTCGCATATGGGATGATTTCTATACATTTCGATGTTATTTAGTTTCCAATTTTGTACGTAGCATTTTCATAAAAAAAATCAATAACTCAAGAACGGTTACAGTTAGGTTATAAGGTACATAGTACCTTATTTGAAATCATATTATTTTTTCCTGACCTATTCAAAAGTGTAACGATTATAGGGTATTCCTTTAAAAAACGAAACATTGATATGCCACACTACTTTGAACCATCCTGAAGACTCCAAAATAATTTCCTTCTGCAGTCTGAATCAATATACATATGATGAAAAGGAGAAATTCCCGAAAAAAAATAAATGGTTTGGTTCACAAAGTTAAATATTTTAAAAATACATATGCCTACACCAAAGTCAATGTAAATGAACAAAACACAACTTACTGGACATCTGTCATTATTAAGAATACAGTATGGCTATATTGAAGAACTTATTATTCTTAAAATTAAGAAATATAGACGAAGATGATTTATAATGAACTGATTGAGAATTTGTCTAGTTTATTTGTGGTCAGATTGACGAATTCACTAAGAAAAACTTATTGCATATAATGGCATTCTTTCAAATATTTATGCTTTTCTGAAATCAGGATGATTTTAGGATGATGTTTCATTGTTATGATGAAATTCGAAGCTGTGGAATTTTTTTGGAGGTGAGAAAAGCAATCTTTCGTGAAACAAGCATTGAAGAGAATAGTCATCTATCAGTACAATTACTATAATTGAAAAACCGTTTTGAAATCGAAACATGCGTCAATTAGAGAGTAGGCACCTATTTTTGTTCAAGAGTGGGAAATGAATTTTCAATTATTAATCTTCTGCAAATTGTATGAGACAACAAGAATTGCATTAGCACAAACTTCGAATTACACTACTTCTTTGAAGAGAAACGACAGAGCCTGGAGAAAAAGCAACAGGTCTTCAACAACTACAATTTTTATGTTGACGATTTGCGAATGAAAATACGTAAAAGTTAGGAAAACTTTTTATAATCCGGCTCGAAGACCATGTTTTTGCTAGAATTGAATAAGCGAAACAGCAGAGCAGATATAAAAACTGAATGTAACAAGGCATTAGGTGTTACTTACGGAAAATTGGTGTTTTAACCACCAATGTAGTAATACATATTAACACAAATTTCCAAAATTCAGAAAACAAATGTGAATTGAGCTTTATGTAAATAGAAACATAATACAAAATATCGTTTTATAAAATGACGCGTTGTTGAATAGTGGATCAAACTGGTATTTGAACTGGAATATTTTCTGAAAATTGAACAGTATTTGATAAATACTTCTTGTCCTTACCAAAATGCTTTTATGAATAACTGAGTGCAACTAGCAGAGAGTTCGACTGTTTCTCAGTTTACAAGAGTTTGTAGAATGAAATGAAATGAATAATAATAATTATTTCGGGAATTGATTTATATAAATTGTATGCGATATGAAATATAGACGCAATCCAAATATTCCTGAATACAGAACTGTTAAATTGGTTTACGATACCGATTCTAATCTTACCAGGGTCAATTAATTCTCGCCCTCTTCTGCTTAACTCGATAAGATATTATTGTAGAGAATTGTAAATCATACATCAGTTCCAAATCAATAATTATGTTTTGACTTGTATATAGTTGAAATGTATAAAATTGCTGTTTTGGTTTTCCTGTCGACCATTTTTTTCATTTTAAATTACGACGGATGCACTGCGGTAAGTTTTATGAATTATTTACCTACTCAAAGAATGAAAAAATGTGATTTTTCTGAAACCAAAATTTGACAAAAGTTGTTTATTTCCAGTGAACTCTAAATAACTTCATTATAAAACACAATCACATAATTAGGTGAAATGGGGTCTAACAAATGCTCAAAATAATTTTTTAACACATCGCGTTCAATATTTTCATGGTAATCGCCAGAAAGCTTTGACTCAAACATCATTAGACCGCCCTCAACAAAATCATTAACACCTCCAATGCGGGATAAATACAAGTATGATTTTATTATCAAATTAAGTCTTATTGCCGTTTCAAATCCATTGTTATTTGACAACTCTTTTCACGAACAAACTTGATTTAAATCTTAAAATATCGTCAGATATCACATCAACTAAATAGAAAACTTATATAAAGAGAGAATAATAGAAATATACATTTTAAAAAACAAAAGAAAAATTTTGAAACCATTCATTATGAACCAGTTTCACTCGAAACCATAACGATGCGGAGCTCTGATATTTCAGCCCTTTATTATAACCATCTCTTCTGTTTTTCTGTTCTTGTTCTGATCTTCTGCTCATGCTCTTCTTTTGACTTCATTCATTATCTTTTCAATTTGATGAAAATTCTCACTGTCGTCTTCTGTCGTAACTTCTAAAGAATGTTCACTTTTATTTTCGCTATTCTGGAAACGTCACCTTTTCCAGGATAAATTTCCAATATTTTTTCTATAGGCTAGTTTATTTGCTTAACATTGTCGCTACTGACAAGACCAACATCTTCAATTTATAAACTACCTATTTCCCATTGACCAGTATGGACAAGTTCTGCTAAATACTCCTATCTGAATCGGGTTCGGAGACCACATCTTATCTATTACATCTATCTACTTCGTTTCACTGAATGCTGTCTGCCGTGAATCAGAAGTTTCACTAGTAGATATATCCAAATCAAACATGGAAGGGCTGAGAAATTTTGAATAAACTTCATTCGAAATATAAGTTGAAGGCCTTGCATTAATTATTATGGCTTCACAATCGCACGAAGTCATCATTAATTTTTTATATTTCAAAGTTGCTTTCTGTGAGTTTCGACGGAGTAGTTCCTCAATTATTCTGATCATGTGTTGCTACTAACCACTCCACCAACCAGCTGTTGGAGGATTCTGATGTCTATAACTTCATTACAATCAATCTTCTTCAAATATTTTTCCCCAATAAAATTCGTCCCGTTGTCCCGTTATCGCTATAAATCGCTTCAAAGATAATAAAAATGAGTCATTTGATAGAGATTTCAGCTCTTTCAGATGCACTGCTCGATATACTGCACAAGTGAACAGTATGATTCAGGTCTTCTCTCTCGCTTTCAGGTGAAACGGTCCGGGTAAATTTACTCCCGTTACCCCACACCACATTGTATATAATATCTTTCGGTAGTGGCGCAAAATATGTATTTATGCATTTACTTTTGAGTCGTTTGCACTGGACATATTTTTCTATTACTTCTTCAACAAAGTTTCTTCCTTTCAATATCCAAAATCTTCAACAAAATACTCCAAAAAGTGTTTGAGCCCCTGCGTGACTATGTATTTTATATTGTTCCTCGATCCATTTCCTAACAATATAATGTGTATGCGGTAAAATAATAGGATACTTGAAATTATTAACGTCATCAAATGAAGAATTCATTTGTATAAGTTTTAAAATACGAAGCTAATTACCCAGATATATGATTTAAGACACGCCCGAGGAAGCCATTGTATGGCGAAACATGTATTGCGTTTTTTTAAAACTATTTAGTGAAAATCTCACAATAAAGTGCTTTTAGAATACGTTAATTACCCAGTTCTTATTTGATTTTTCTCTAAAGGATTGTTATAAAATCTCAAAATATAATCCACCATTCTCACAATTTTTGTATATTTGGAGAAGTATCCGAAATATTAGTAAAATGTTCACGTTGTGTGTAGTTAACAAAAATAATTTTTTCCGTACACTGTTTATATTCTCCGTTGAACAAATAATTTCTATATGAAACCTATTTTCTGGACTCTGTTTAAAATACTGAGGGCCTTCCCATCACTTTATTTAAATCAGTACATTCGCAGTGCATCCTCTTGATACTGGAGTTTAGTTCCCTGGCACATGATATCAATCATCAATACTACTGCAGGAAGTTATTTCTTTCACTAGATTCCCCAAAAATGTATCCCAGGACCTTTTTGTTTTTATTCATGTCAGGGCTACCATGGAATCACTTCAATGAAACGTTTTTATCCATTTCATCGATTCCATAATAACATAATAACTTGAGACATGGTATTGTGATGATTTTTGGTGCTACTCTAGATTTAGCTTGAATGAGTTGTACATCGAGTTCTTCATTTGTTTCTCTTCTAAGAAATATACAAAATGCATATGCTGCTTTACTGACATCGCAAAATACATGAATAGAAACATTTTTAGGCATGAAATGAGTTAAGTTATTGAGTGATCTAGAAATTTTATATCCATCACTTTTCAAATTTATCGATTATGTCACTTTATCCTTTGCTATCGGTGATATCATAAATCATGGTGAAAGCTGTAAACCAATATCTTTAAATATTTGGAGGTCTTTAACATCTTGAGCGACCTTCTATCGTATGTCACCTATATTTGGAATAACGCAATCGAGAAACATGGAGAGTCAAGAGCTGTTGAGCTTGATATTTCTAAGGTCTTTGACTGTGTGTGGCATGAGGGTGTGTTGGCCAACCTTCGATGCTATAAACTGTCGATGGCGGATCATTTTTGTGTATGGCTCTGCAGCTTCCTGAAATAACGTTCCCTGCAAGTGGCCGTCGATATACTCTTACCATCAACGCTGGGGTTTCCTAGGGATCCATTTCGTCTCCAACCCTCTTTCAATTATATATCAACGACTTATTGAAAGAAAACAAGAATCCAATATATTGCAATAAATTGATGGATGTATCCGTTACTATGTGATAGGAAAGTTTATTGTATAAGTTTGAAAATGTCCGTATACGACGAAACTGCAATAACGTTAGTTACAAATAAAAGTTTTGAAAACCTAGAAAGTTTCATTTCTCTTTCCTCCAATATATTGCTTTGCTGACGACAGCACACTTGTCTCGTCATTCCATTTGGTTTCCAGGACATCGGCTGTAGATGAACATCTACACCGGCAGTAAAGAAAAGTATACAGGTTCAATTTAATGCCACAAAAACCCAGGCATCGGTTTTCTCCAAAAAGAAAATTCCGCTTTCTGCTTCGATAGGTTAAAATGGACACCAATTATGTATTGGCACAATCATGTCGTTGGAATTGCAAAGGTTGTTTCTCAAAAGCTTGGAACACTAATTTGAACCGGAAAACTGTACACACCTCAGCAACTTTTGATGCTTTATAAAGCTCAGATCAGACCTTATTTGGAGTATTGTTCTAATGTATGGAGCTCCGCCACTAAGCATACCCTGAAGCTGGTGGATTCCATCCAGAAAAGAGCCATTCGCCTGATTGGAGATGTGAACATCAAAGAAAAGTTGAAGGTTTGTCTCTCTTCTATAGATACCTTCACTGAAAGTGTTCAAGTGACTTGGCATAATTAATTTCACCAAAAGCGGTACATAACAGGAATACGCAATGGATGTGGCTGCTCATCGTTGTGTGGTTCAACTCAGTATACCTCGAACTTCACTGTTTGAGAACTCTTTCATGTGGAGAACTGCATTTTTGTGGAAAAAACCCTCTGAGAATGTATTTCCAAATGGTTTTATTCTTTAGCGATTCAAATCCATTGTGAATCGCCAATTTCTCACATGCACCGTTCTTAGAGCGACTTAAGGATTTTCATGAAGTGTTTGTGTTTTTTTCTAAAAAAAAAACAATTTCCAGTGTGCATATTAGCTGTAATAATAGTTTCGGAATCTATATCACTGGACATGTGAAACCAATGGGATCAAATATTTTTTTGAGCTATTGACAATTAACCTCGTTTTGTTTTAGGTGTACTATTCAAATCAATGAAACTGGAACATGGAAAATGAGAAATAAAACTTTCTTTTATTTACCACTTTTATTTGCAACTAACGTTACTGCAGTTTCATCAAAAAAGGGCATTTTTAAATCAAAATAATGAAAATGTCCCTATGAAGCAATTGAATAGAACTGGTCGATACTTTATGAAAATCCATATTAAAACTAATTAATACAGTTTATTGTATGATTTTCACTATAAAAGGGGTTTACAAAAACCGCAACACGTACGTGTTTCGCTATACAATAGCTTCTTCAAGCGTAAACAATGTTTTTAATTTATTGAAAGTGAAATATCTTTCTAAAAATTTCATGAAATATCTCAAACCGATATGTTTCTTTCATTGGGAAAATCTCCAAAAAAATTATTCGATGAATTGTATACCCATTATCTGAGGTTGAATTTTTCAATTTTTCAGCTGTATTTCCAAATGAATTGGTGTCCCATACGAATGATGACAGATGACTAGATCGCAATCTAAAAACTACTCGACAGTGCCTGAAGATTTTCTTATCGCCATTTGATTCATCTTTTCCCCAAAGATACTTCAAAATGTCCTTATCATTGGGATTGAATATTAATTTGCGAAAATGTTTTTCTACATCGGATGTTACTCCTATTAGTCCTATTCCGAATTTTAATAATGATGAAGTGATGAGTTTTAACAGATTGGGACCCAGTTAATTTTCGTTATTACTTTTTGTTGATGCGTCGAATTCCGGCCAATTTCAGTAATACTATTTTCTTTAATAACGGTACGATCAATTTTTCGTTGTCTGAGTAACTTTTTTGTTAGGAAAATAATTTTGTTTCAGTCTTTTCATTGTCGTTAGAAAGTTTGAAATGACATTATTTTCAAGGAAGATTAACTTGATATCTACTATCATGTCTGCAAAACCGTTTCTGTGTAATATTTTCCTGTTTCAAAATCAATAATATCTTTTGGTGTTATATTTGCGGGCTCCCTTATACCCAAAACATCTAATTCTCACAAATCAGTAATAAAAAAATCAGTGAAACCGAAAAATATACGATTGTTACTTACATGTTATTGACGTGTTTCATTATACTCCACCCATGATTTGTTTCTATGGCAACAGGCACATTATTTAATTGAATTTCTAAAAACCAAACAATCCAATTTTTTCAAATATTCTATAATGATTAAATCTCTCAGTCTGAGAATGTAATTACATATCTTATATATTGTTACGATACTGATAATATAAATGTCACTTATTAGGATATCGTATATATTATGGAGATGAGGAGATGATTCAAAACCACCAAACACCCCTTCTCTTCTGTTGGCTTGCTTAAGGTTTAAATCTTTTGCACACTTCGAATTTGAAATACTGGCAACCGTGTGAGGACATCAACTAAACTGAGAACCTATATATAGAGGAAATAATAGAAACATACATTCTGAAACATTCTGAAACAGTGGGTAATAATCAGTCACTTTTTTTCCAGAAGGCGACTTCAATCCGGCAGACCAGCGTTCTAAAAATGCTTGACGTGAATGTGTAATGTTTTTGTTTTGCCTATCTTTCCAACGTTATATTTTTCGTTAAGACATGTCCAGATAATATATATTTTTATTTTCACGTCGAAACTCCTTTATCTGCCTTACGTAATATCTTCTCCAGCAAATAATTTCATAATTTTTAACTGAGAGCGATTTTCTGTTTTGTTTTTCTCAGCTGAAAATGAATTCTTTTGAAGTTTTTCATAAGTTTGTATTAGTTTGTATTTTTGAATTAGAATGATCTCTTTTCAGATCGAGAATATCAGTGGTTGTGGTAGAGAAACTTCCAATACCTACTGTTTCATATTCTTCATCATTTGATTGCATTGCGACATTTTGTTCATCAGATTTCATCATCAACTTTACTTTTTAAATACATATCTCTAATTTTTTCATCGATTTTAGTAGCCACTGTAATAACAGATTCAACTATGTATTCGTAGTCGAAAAAATGAAGTTAAAAATGAAATCTAATGAACGAAACGTCACATTGCAAACTGTTTTTTTACCTTTTATATATGCTGTTCGAAATGGGGGCTGTAGAGTCAAAACACGAAGTTTGGCAATTCTAGTTTTCGGCGGATATATCAAAAATAAACACTAATATTCTCGATCTGAAAAGAGAAAATATATTATTCTAGTTACCGTTTTCGAGATCAGCAGGAAACAACAGCCTGTACATTAAGAATAATAATCTATTTGTTAACGGAAAAAGTACATCTACTCATTCGTTTACTGGAAAGAAAACTGAAGTACCCATTTCAATTCATACGCTAAGTACCTATGATTCACTAATAACAACACTGATTGAGACCAAAGGGTTTATCAAGGTCATATTCTTCAAGTAAGGAAGTACCTGAAATCAAAACACTAAAAGATCGGACCGAATCATAACATCATCCTTTTTCCATGGAAAATTGAAAATATCTCATGTATGCCTGGTTCAATCCGGTAAGCTTTCTAGTTATGTGATACATTGAAAAGTGCTTTTTATAGAAATTATTAAAAATATCAATTGAAATTCAAAGCTAAAAATAACTTTAGGGGTTGAAACCGATTCTATCATCAAAGCTAGTGTTTCATATTTTTGTTACTCCACGAATACATACAACTATGAAACTCTTTTTGGATATGTTATATCATATATACAACAACATTAAATTTTTGAAATAAATTGTACATTTTTCACTTTCAAACCGTTTCAATAATGTACTCCTATGGAACAACCGCTTGGAAATGATTCACTACTCCGCTATACTTATAAATGCGAAAGTCACTTACTTACTCATTCATCTCTGTTTCTCCGTATTGGTAGGTCCTGAAAAGCTAAAATTTGGTATATAGGCACTTCTTAGGTCTTAGATGCGCACTACGAAAAGATTTTCAAATATTCCCGTGGGGGGGGGAAAGGAAACGTTTACACATGAAAATTATCTTTTCATTACTTTTTCTCCGTACCACCAAATTTTTGGACGCTGAAATTTTGTGTGTAGGTTCGTTTTATGTTATAAGGAAGGATTTTCAAATATTCCAACTGGGGCGCCCATCCTGGGGATATGAAAATTACCTTTTCATCACTGTTTCTCTCTACCGCTATATTTTCATAGGTTGAAGTTTTGTATGTAGGTTTGTTTTATGTTGTAGATGTGCAATGAGAAATGGCTTTTAAATATTCCAACTGAGGCGCCCCCACTTAGGATAAAAGGGGAGCGTTTACATATAAAAATTAACTTTTAATCACCGTTTCTTCGTACGGGTATATTTTCGGAGGCTGAATGTTGCACGTTGGTTTGTTTTATGTTGTAGATGTGTAATAAAAAAAAGATTTCCAAATAATTTAACTAGGGCACCAGCCGCGGGGTAAAAGGCGCGTTCACAAAATGAAGTTACCTTTTCATCACTATTTTTCCATGTACATGTATCAGCATTACACCTGTGAGGAGTAAAGGTAATCGTATTGCCGACTCTTTAGCCAAGGAAGCGGCTGGACTAAGAATCTAAGGACCCAGTGGCACCTACGGTCTGATGACTCCGACAATGGGCTCACTCAGGCTGATTGAGTTTTTCATTGAAAATTATATATTATGAAAGTAAATTATCTCCCAAGTATCCCACAAAATTTTCCGGTTTTTATGTCAATTAACAACTGAGCAAGAGCAATTGAAAATGTGATATCGCCCGCGGTACATCCTGACGTCACACCAAGCAACGAGCTTCGAGCGATATTGTTGCTTAATATAATTGTTATTTTCAACTATTCTTTTTTAATTATTCTTTTTTACTTGTTTCAGGGATTTCAAATCATTTTATATAATAGACAATGGAAGTCCGAACTAGTGAAAGAGATTGTGTGTTCGGCGAGTCTTGGCCTACACCTCCCAGTGACCTGTCCACCTTTCTGGAAAGGACAGGATGGACGATGACCTAGGAGGACAACTCCTCGGGAGGATATACAATGAGTCACAAGTGGCCTAAGTGCTGTGGGCTTACACTCACCCTCCCTACTCTACAGATACAGATACATCTGTGTGGAGCCGGGGCGGTTCGCTAGTAGACTATAGACGAAAATTGGCAAAATCTTCATTATTCCTTTGAAGTAAATTTCAGCCCGTATTTGGAAAAATAATTTGTTTGAGTGAAATTATATAAGGATGGAAAAATACATGGAACTAATTGTACTGATTTCAAAAACCTCTGCTTCACGACTTCAGAAACGTGACAAATTCCTGCAACGCGAATTAAATATGAAGAATGATCATAAACGAAATGCCAGAAAAAATATTGTGTTTCAGTAATTGATGTAGAGAAGAAATTGAATGAAAAATTTCTCAGACGAAAGAAAACCCAGGAAAAAGTCCAGTCTCAGCATTTCATCTTCATTATAATTACAACTTAACGACCGTCTCACAATTGATTACTACTGGCAATGCATAGTTATCTCAGTTTATATAATGTACAGGACCGGATTCAGGAAAGGGCAGGCGTGGTTACTGCCTCGGAGCCTCCATAGGAGCGGGGGCCCCACAATAAAGATAAAAAATTATTTAAACTCTGATAGGTCAGCAACTTTTACGTTTTTCCTCACAAATATTTTTTTGCATTTTTTCCAAGAATACTTGCACAAACATAATGATATTGTTGTCGATATATCAGAAAGCCCTGATTGGAAGTTTCCATTTATTATAAATTTTTGATTTGATCGAGCATTATTTCTTATAGTTCGAAAATGATTAATAATTAGGGGCCTCCATTCCTTATTTGCACTAGTGTCTCCAGACTTCCAAATTCGGCCCTGATAATGTATTTTGTCAATTGTGATTTTAACTATTGAGCCATTGAAAGTTGTATAAAAATCGTTGTTTCAGATTCTTATACCAGAACAACAGCAATCAAAACCACCCTACACGTCTGGAATTAAAACAACGAACTGGAAAAAGCCTCTTCTCACCCATCAAAATTATAGTAAAGTAAATGTACATAATAAACCAGACGCAGAAGCGCGGTATATTGTCACGCAAACACAGAAAACTCAGAAGATATATCCAGTTTATAACGCTCATTCGTATGGACCAAACTCTAAAAGACATCAGGACATTTTTGAAACAAATGTACACACTGGTAAGTTAAAATTTGACACATGTTCATTGCAATCATTTCATGAAACTACTCAGGTCCATACCCAAGCAGCAAAATTATTTTATAATTTCATGGTGCTGCAACAGTTTTATTTTGTTGGTATTTTATAATTACTTCCAAAATGCTAATTGATTATATCAGACAAGCCGTGAACATAATACAGTTGTAAGTAATAAAAGTGTTTTATAAATTTGTCATAGAAACGTTTATAAAATAAAATTAAAAATCCGTTATAAAATAGTCACAAAATTATCACAGATTCGTTTTTACAATTATATCAATCTTTGAAGCACAAATAATGTTTTCAACAGTTTTCAAAGAACAGAAGTAAAATTATTGAAATGGCCCCAACCTTTCTATTTATTAGTTTCTAGTTGGTGACATATCTATCATATTTTCCTAGTGTCTAATACTGAATTACTTCTTGCGCCTTCGAAAAAACATATTTGTACACTTTTTTATTTTATCTTTATCGTTTTAGGCCGCATTATATTTTATAAAGCTTACTTGGTATTACTAAAAAACTTTTATAAAATTGTATTTCAATTATTTCATAGGATTCTTTACGAATAGTGTTAGAAAAATTTTATAGTAACTGCCCAAATGTTTATAAAACAGTTTTGTAGTGTTTGTAAAATATGTTACAAAAATATCAACAAAGACTATAATGTTTCATAAATCGGTGCCAATTTCCTATGTATAGCTGTTTTATAAACACACTGAAAACATTTCTGGGAGAAATACAGTTTTTTAATTTGTTTCTCTGAAACGTTTCCGCAACCATTATTAAATATCAAATTGCTAGCTGGGTAGTGTTCCAATAATTTGACTTTATTGATGACAACGACTGACACCTCATATAATTTTGATGCCTTGAGTTGAGATATTGCAATTTTCGTAGAGATCGTAATTTTTTTTCAAAACAAAATACAACTAAAGAAATTGAAACCAATTGGGATATGCAAGTCTCAACTGGAGTCACCTGGTGAATTACTAATGCAAAGGGTCAGGCAGCGTGTAGTTGTTTTCGAGCTAACTTTCCGTTGATGTGCCGTCTGTTTCCGGTTTCAAGGGTGGAACAGGACAGAAAAATGTATTATGGCTTTCGAATGTATCATCCTGTAGAGGTTTTTTGAATATCACTAATTTTGACAGTCATAGGTTTTCAAAGAGAAATCATGGTGAGAGTAGTAGCAACTTTCAAATCTATTTCTGAAACATTGGAGGACTTGTAACAAATGGTTAATTCGAAGCATCAATATTAGCACAAAAAGAGTCCCCATATTCTGACATTTACCGACACTAATGTCAATGCTACAACAAACCTTTACAATGTTTCATATTTAACGACTTCCATTTCTGATTCAGGCATAATTTTGGAGGTAACCGAAATGACCCCTCTAGTCAATGAATGAAAATATTTGACGGTATCCCACTACAGGAACTTCTATATTCAGTGATTTCATTTTCGTTATTATCAACTGGCCTAAATTTTCAAATATGGACTTCACACAATGACTATAGATTCTCAATTGGCGTCATCGGATCTCAATCTAGCTTCCGTTCTCAGTGAATTTCTAATATGTGTTGAAGAACAACCCAAATTGAGCAAAATTTGATGATACAGATCGCTTCAGATCTAATTTTCTAACATTCATTTGTCTGGATGATTGTTTCAACTCTAATGATCCATCATCATGTGCTTTCAAAGTAAAAAAGGTTATCAGACATGGAGGAGAAGTTGCGAGCAACTGTTGTGTCTTGAAATCTTGACAACTGACTGTTCCAAAAATCCCAGTGCACAATTAGAGAATTGCGAATACACTAATTAGCAGTTCGAAGGGTTTCAAGAAGGGAACTAGACTATATTGCGCAGGGAGAAATCTTCATTTCAAATATCCACTCGGCTAGTACATACCAGTCTTTCAGGGTGAAGGGTATACCTGCAATCGTGATGCACAAAGAAAATTGATTAGAAGCCTCACCAGAATGACCGGATCAATTTTTCATATGCAGCTAAGCTGATCTTGCGGCTCTAATGAATTTAAATTCAAAAGTAACTTCAAGATTGGTATAAGAAAGCCTGTAAAAAGTGGTGAACGGAAATAAATTGACTATACAGGGTGTCCATGGACTTCCTCTTTTCCTCTCGGGAATGTATAGATGGGGTCAAAATATCACCAGTACTTCATATAAATTTTTTTCCTCAAAGAAGTTCGTAACCAAGTTACGGGCCCTCGAAGTTACAAAATGAAAAATGTTTTTCTTTGATAACTTTTCAAGTGAATTTCAAAAATCATCCAAATTTTGGTAATTGACTAAACAAATGAATTCC